ACCCTTAGGATCCAGGTGCGGGGACTCTGCACCCAGGCCACGCATCTTTTCAGGAGTTTCGGTCATGTCCTGAGACTGACAGAGGCCAGCCTAAACTTGGGCCTGGACAACAATCCAAGTCTGTAGAGACATTACATGTTCAGTCAGGAGGAATAATGGGCCAGAGACACCGAGTGGCACATGCGGTTTTGCTTTGAGGTGGCTCTGTCTTCCCGGGGCCGCTAGCTCTACCTTAGATTCCCAGGGACCTCTTCAAAAAGACTTCTCTCTCTTCTTCAGTTTGCATCTGGGAGCAGCGCACTCTCGGCAGGGATTGTATCAGCTGATTAATAGCAAGGGCATGAGGGCACTCCAGAAATAGAAGTAATGATTGCTGTAAGTCCTCCTATCAATGACGAATTGAGTCTGCGGTGGCTGGCTCGATTCATTAGAATAAGGATATTAATGAAGCCGAAGGTGTGAGGGGAGACCCATGCAGGGTGGTTTGCGCTATGGCCAAAGTTGCAATCCATCTATTTCCAGTGTGGTCAGGCTCTGCACCCAAGGCAGGACAATAGGAAGCTGTTTGCCACCCATCGCCAATTCCCTGTGGGCCCTTGGTTTGCCCCAGAGGGGAAACGCGTATTATTAGAGTCCCAGCCGTGAACCGTAAAGTGATTGTGGAACCGTGCCCCTCCTTTGGCTGGCTGTCTCTGACCTGTCTCCTGGTTCCTTTCAGAGAGTCGCATGATCCTGGATGCCTTTGCCCAGCAGTGCAGCCGAGTTCTCAGCCTCTTAAATTGCGGAGGAAAGCTCCTGGACTCCAACCATTCTCAATCGCTGGTGTCTTGCGTGAAGCAGGAAGGCTCGAGTTACAACGAGAGGCAGGAGCAGTGCCATGTTGGGAAAGGAGTCCACAGTCAGACCTCAGACAATGTAGATATAGAGATGCAATATGTGCAAAGGAAACAACAAACCTCGGCCTTTTTGAGGGTTTTCACAGACTCCCTACAAAACTACCTGCTCTCCGGGAGCTTCCCGACTCCCAACACCTCATCGGTCAGTGAGTATGGCCACCTGGCTGACGTGGATCCTCTGTCAACCTCTCCCGTGCACACACTGGGCGGCTGGACCTCCCCAGCCACCTCCGAATCACATGGTCATCCGTCCTCATCCACCCTGCCCGAAGAGGAAGAGGAGGAGGAAGAGGAAGGCTACTGCCCTCGTTGCCAAGAGTTGGAGCAAGAGGTTATTTCACTGCAACAGGAAAATGAAGAGCTCAGAAGAAAACTAGAGAGTATCCCAGGTATTCATTCTGCCTTCTTCCTTACAGGCCAGCTGCAGCTCTTCTTGTATGTGTGAATGTACGTGGGGTTGGGGACCAGCCATGCAGAGAAGCCACAAAAACAGGTATTTTTGAGGGAACCTAGGTAAAGATCCCTGGTGGCATAGTGGTTACTCATTGGGCTACAAACCGCAAGGTTGCAGTTCAAAACCACCAGCCACTTGATGGGAGAAAGATGAGGCTTTCTACATTTGTAAAGAGCTACAATTTCAGAAACACACAGGGCAGCTCTACTCTGTCCTGCTAGGATTGCTGTAGGTCAGAATGAACTCTATGGGAGGTGAGTGAGTGAGTGAGCTCACCTAGTGCAATAGCAAAATTTCAGGATGAGCCACATGCTTCCCCCCTCTTAGTTTAAGCTACAGTGTGCTTGGGCATAGGCCCGAAGATCATAAAAAACCCTAGTTGCCATACAGTTAATTCGAACTCGTGGTGAGCCGTGTGTGTGTCAGAGTAGAACTACGCCTTAGAGGTTTTCAATGACTGATTTGTCAGAGCTAGCTCACCAGGCCTTTCGCCCAAGGCACTTCCAGCAGACTGACCACTCACCTTTCAGTTAGCAGGTGCACTAACTGTTGGCACTACTCAAGGACTCCCTGGGAGTGCAGTGCTATTAAAAGCTATCTCTAGTGATATAAAAGTCGTTCCAGGGTGTAGCGCAGGGAGATGGAAACAGACCAAGTGCACAAGCCTAAAGTTGCTGCCGAACACTGTCCTGTTCATGTAAGATGGCTTTTGCAGTTTAAAGATTTGGCTGTGTGCATTTTATTCGTTGATTACTGATAGAAATTAAAATGACCATTTCAGAGACAGGAGTGGTAGGATGGGGTAAATGGTATCTTCTATTCCATTCATCTCCTTCACCTTGTGAACTTTCAATAGGCATAGTCTATCCATAGCAAACACCCTCCCTTAAGCCCCACCCAGTCAAAGTTAGCAAGAAACTGTATTGTCAAACTAATAGGGTTAAGATAGACCAATAATTAAGCTTGCCCAAAACTAAGCTCCTGGCTAAATGTGAGGCATGTCCTCCCTCTTAGATGTATAAAGTGATGAAGACATCTTTAAAGAGTCCTGGTAGTACAATGGTTAATGACTCAGCTGCTAACTGAAAGATTAGCGGTTCCAGCCCACCAGCCGCTCTGCGGGAGAAAGATTTGGCTGTCGGCTGCCGTAAAGACCACACAGCTTTGGAAACCCTCCTGGGAAGTTGTACTCTGCCCTACCGTGATGCTCTTAGAATTGACTTGTTGGCAATGGGGTTGGGTTGTTTTTTATTTTTGTTTTGTTTTGTTTTTAGTTTGCCTTTATTTTTTGTTTTAAAGACATCTTTGGGGCTAGATAGTCTCTGGTCTACAGAATCATATTTTGACTGTTTTAGAAGGCATTGATTTGGCTTTAGCAAACTGCTGATTTTTAAAAATTACATGTAACCCTCCAGTCCACAGACTCACTTTTTAGTAAGTTAAATGAATATATGTACTAACCTAAAAAAAAAAACCAACAAAAAAAGCCCCAGACCTACTGCTTTGGTGTGGATTGTGACCTATAGCAACACCATACGGAGTAGAATTGTTTTGTAGGGTGCCAGAGATATAGATCCTTGTGTAAGCAAACTGCCTCATCTTTCTCTTGACAAGTAGCTGGGAGGTTTGAACTACAGACATTTAGGTTAGCAGTCCAAGACTTAACTGACCGTAACCCCAGAGCTCCTTTATCTATATATGCATGTAATATGTACAATAATGCATATTAATTAAAAATATTGAAGACTGAAAAGAAATAAACACACATGTATGTTCTTTTCCTAACTCATGTATTCATACCACCTAGAAGGACATGATGTTGGATAGAGGGACAGTGGAAAAGAGGAAGGCCCTCTACACAATGGATGGACACAGTGGCCGCCGCAACCAGGGGCTCAAACAAAGGACGATTGTGAGGGTGTCGCGGGACTGGGCAGTGTTTCGTTCTGTTGTGTAGGGTCGCTGTGAGTCAGAACCGACGCAATGGCACCTAACAGCAACAGTGACAATTTGCAGGTGATCTAGGAGCCAAAAAAAGGTTGAAGAGAGTTATCCACTTGTTCATTCATACACATCGGCTAAACAAACAAAAGAAGAAAGGGGGGGAAACCCAACCCTCTGCCCTCCAGTCCGTTCTGGCTCCTGGAAGCCTGTAGGACAGAGGAGAACCGCCCATTGGGTCTGAGAGGTCACACCTCGACGGGGCAGATCCCTCTCTTTCTCCCGTGAGCGACTAGTGGATTCAAGGCACTGGCCTTGTGCCTCCTGTATAAATAGTGAGCTTTTCTTAAAAGTGTGGTTCTGAGCATTTGTAATTGGACAAAGCCCCTTTCATTGCGACTAAGGTACACCTGACTCAAGTCATGCTGTTTTTTATTTTGTAATGAATATTTTTAATAGTTTTGATGGCATGTAGTTCACATAACCTACAATTTAGTAGTTCAATCATATTATGAAGAGTTGTGCAATCATCACCACACTCAATTTTAGAACATGTTCTTCTCTTTTGTAGTCGTTGTTGTTAGCTCCCTATTTCCCCCAACCTCTTCTTCAATGCCCCTAGATAATTATTAATCCAGTTACTATCTTACAGATTTACTTCTACTGAATTTCTTATACAGAAAAACATACAAAACAAGAAACAAACATACAAAACTAACGATGACAAAATAAAACAGAGAAAAGGTTCAGTTGAAAAGATGGCAGAAAATATTAAAAACTTGAAGAAATTTTAAATGGGTCAAAATGGAGAACACACGATAAGGTGTTGGTACATTTTAACCTCACCACATCTACCATCATCACGTTTACAGTGCTCTCTGTCTGATAGCAAGGCTATTCACATCCCGGGACTGTGGTCAGAGGGGGTCACTGGAGGCTTGATTCATGTGGATACCTTGAAGATAAACCTTGGCTTTCACTGTCATCCGTAGCTTTCGGTAAACTGGTGGCTGTTCAGAACTGAAACTCTGATACCGTTTCCTCCTCCAGATTTGGATTTTATTACTTACAATCCTTGGATCACACAGGCTGGTATGCTTCTTCCATGTGGACTTAGTTGATGCTTCACTTAAATGACTGCTTGTTTGAAGACAATCCTTTAAGATCTCAGAGGCTATTCTTTCTGAGAGTCAGACACTATCTGATTTCCTTAAAAACTACATTTTCCTATAGCGCCACCACAGTATTTTTTAATCGCCTCATAGGTGTGTGAAAGCTGATCAATAAATAAGGAAGACTGAAAAGTAATGGATGCATTTGAATTATGGTATTGGCAAAGCATATTGGAGGTACCACCGACTAGCAGACGAACACACAAAGTTTGGAGAAGTAGAGCCAGGATGCGCCTTAGGAGGAAGCGAGGTTGGTGAGACTTCATCTCCTCTACTTTGTACCTGTT